TCTATAATTTTTCGTAATTCATACAGATTTTAAAGTTTATTTAATGAACGCAATTTTTTTGAAGCTCTTTTGAAAACTGGAATTTAAACCAAACTGTAGAGCTATCTTATCAATTCCACTGAGTCATTGTCAGTTGCTTTATCTTTTTACTACTCTTACCACATATTTTTTTGCGCAAACCTGATCCATTATTCTTATAAAAAAAATCAGCGTTAATTTTATTATTCAATGTTTGATAATGTATAATTCAAATTAATTGCTTAATCCTAGTATTCTGCATTGATATTATAAAGTATCATTGAGATTACAAAGTTGTAAATAAGCTGATAACTTTTGTTAATTTGAAAATCAGTGGCAAAAAATCAAATCTGGAAAATCAAAAATCTGCAAGTCTTTCATAAATTTATTTGTTGATTTGAACCAATAATAAATTATTTCTTGTACAACTGCTGTAGGACTCGCTATTCGCCATTATAGTCTCTTCGATTGTAGCTAAAGGATTGTATTGTCATGCTTATTATCATGCTTGTTATCTAATCTAATATTTGCATGCAATGATCAAATTATGGAAATCTGTGTCTAAATAAAAGCTACAAAAACCAGACAATCAAAATTTTTTTATTTATATTAGCCCATAAGATTAACCCAACCTAGAAATGAGTTTAGCCACAAAGAAAAGAAGATAAATTTTTGCCTATAAAATATTTATTTGACCTTCCATTTTTTCCTTTATCGTATAACATGTTTTTAAAATTATCCTCTTTTATCATTGATTTAGTTTTAAAGAATATTTAAAATTTTATTTTCTTCGCTTTAGATTTAATATGTTATTTAATTTTAAATTAGCAAGTCACAATAAGCGACCTCTCGAATCCAACTAAAATCACAGCATTGTTAGTGTCATGCATTATCAACCTTGAGTTCTTAATCATATTCAAAATTTCTCTTTATTGACTGCTGAATTAACTGACCATCGTTCATGAAAAGAATAAAACGTAGATCGACTGAAAAAATAGATGATATTTAGATGGAAGATTTTTCTTAGGCTTTGGCATTATTTACTTCTGCTCACTTGGTCTCGAAGGTAAGATATCCGAGTAGTTATCGTGCTTATTGTTATTGTTTTGGTTCTTGTTTTCGATAAGCGTAAACTTGTTAACTTGTTATCTGGGTGGTGCTGACGACTCATCTATACTTTTATCGCCAAATTCTCTAGCAAAAATTTCTAATCATATTTAGTGGTTAGCGAAGCGAACTTAACCGGAGATGTTGAGCGCTAACCATTTATTTACTTGGGCTAGGAACTATTCTAATAGCACTCATAGCTGCCCTGGCTTTTAAGATGAGATAATTTCATCAGAGAATTTCTTGAGCCTACAAGAATAGATGGCTCCCCAGTAGCACCCTCAGTTCAAGAGAAGAGAAAACTTATTTTTAAAAATAAAAAAACGAATATAAATAAATATTTTTATAATAAATAAAAATAAAATAAATAAAAAATAAATTTTAGGTTATAATGATTGGTAGTTTCAATTTTTCAATTTGATTAATTATTTAGATTACTTTTTTACTAAAATTTTATTGATGCAAATTGTTGAACCTTTTATAATATATATATATACATACATATTTATAAATAAGATCAACAACATATTATATGATTCTATGTATATTAAGGTAAATATCAGTTTGATATGCGTATATTATTGGAATAAAATTTGAACAATCCATCTAATCCCACCATTTATATGGGTTATTTACCTAAAACCGTGGAAGTCACTGCCACTTGGTTCTTCCAAAGCAACCTATGGACATTATCGATTCAAATATGTTAAATACCGTTTTTACTGAGATATCAATTTTCTTTTTCTTTTCATTCTTTATGATTTTTGTCGGTTTTACCGTTAAATTTTTAAAAATTTTGCTTATTTCTTTAACTGAAAATAAGTGAAAATTCTATTCATTTAAAAAATTAGTTAAAATCTATTTATTTTAGATTTTAGAATTTTAGAATAAGATTTTAGACATATTGTACTTTTTATTTAATCAATGTTTTTTTTTATTCTTCTTTTAATAACACTTCTGATTTGGCTAACTCTGCTGATTACTTAGAAAATTGATTCACTAGAGAATGACTTGGAGATAACGATATATATATATGTCCTCAGCACTGTTCGGATTAGGAAGTTAGGTTTACTCTTGCGAAGGTTTGATAAAAATCCAACTGATATTAGGAAGATTTTATTGGGCAGTTTTAGATAGATTAATCTTCATATCTGTTCAAAAAAAGAAATTTCGGACCGATTTAAAAACTTTGTTATGACAGCTAATTTCGGAAAGATGAGATAATAAAAGAATGGATGAAAAATCCAAAAAATAAGCATTTTGATTCAAATTTTGCTAGCCTAATTTAATATTGTAGAGATAGAGTGCTTAACTATAGTGCTTATAGTATTTTTCGATTTGCTTCAACAGTGGAACTTCAATAACCTGAAAAAAATAAATGGCAAACCTATTCACCCATTTCAGATTACTCTGATGGCTGGTAGAAATTGTCAGAGAGTTAAATGCAATTCAAATAAATATCAGTGCTCCCTAATTTAGAACATTTTTGGTTAGGCAAACTGGTTGTTAGTATGGTTAGAAATGGCAAGGAATAACTTGACAATAGAATGGGTCGCTAAAACCACCCAGATTTTTAAACCCGGACATGCTTTCTCATTAAGATGGGGGGTTGTTGAAAAAAATTTAAATTGATTTTTTGATTTGAGGTTAATTTCACAAGGCTTGAAAGTTGGAATTTCTCTAATCCTTAACAATTCACAAAGTGGTTAGTTTTTTCTCTAAAGCTATATTCCTTTATTTTCTGATTTTTCTCAAATTTTATCATTTTTACTTTTAGTGATAAAAAATTGTTTTGGAAACGGTTTATTTGTCTTTTATTATATTATTATTGTTATTATTAATTATTATTATTCAAGCCATATATATATATATATAAACCAGATAATAAATTTATTTAATTACTAATTATTTAATTATTAATTTTTAATTATTTGATAGAAATTAAAATAATTATAAGAAAGAGAATATTCGAGTTGGAAGTATCCAATTGGTTCTTGCTTAAATTTTGATTAAATTTTGATCTTAAATTCTTTCATGCTTTCGGCCTTTGTCCTCCCTCGCAGAAATAATTTCAAGTAATAAATTTTAAATTTTAAGAAATAAATAATAAAAATTTAAAAGGGAATATTGAGAACTCACCAATATTTCTAACCTCATATAATTCTCTGGCAAATTTGCTTCATTTAACAGCCTAATGGTGAATGTCGATCTATTATTTTATAAAAAATTTTAACTTATCGCTATCTGATTAATTAAATTCTTATAGAAAACTTTTGTAAATGGACTGATTGCCTTAATAATCTTTCCTGGGTGAACTAGAAACTTTAATATTAAAAAACTTTAATAATAATAATATTGAATTAAAGAATTTTTGTGGTTGATTTTAGTTTTCTCTGTAAGTTCTTAAATTATAATTTAGATAAGCTAATATGTACCAAGTTTTTGCCAAGATATACCTTCCAAAATCGTTTCTAACCAACCACTCTTTATTTTGAAAGCAGATCGTGCTGGACGACCCATCTTCATTTATATCATTATTTTATTCTCCGGCAAAAATTTTAAATCGTACTAAGAGGCAGCACAGCGAGCGAGTTTAACTAGAAACGGCTACAATCAACATTTGAATCCTGGTTTTGTTGGCTTTTTGCATTTATTTTTTGCTCTAGGTTGTTCCATGGATTTATTTTTCTTTCTTTTTATTTTATTTAAATATCCTCTATATCCTCTTTTTAAGCCTAAACAATAAAAATAATAAAAAGAGACAGGAATATCAGAAAAAAGAAATAGAGAAAACAAGAATGCGAAAGTGAAGGCCAAGGAAGCCCCAGATGCAATAGGAATACTACTCGCGCTGTGGCTCTCAAATTAAAAAATTGCCTATTGGTTTAGCAATGCAAATTTAATAAATTTCTTAATAATATTTTTAAATTTCGGATTATTTAGTAGTGAAGTTTATTTAGCCAGTAGCACTGTATGCTTTATATCGAATTTTGTGAAAGATTTCTTCGAAATATTTGAGCCTAATTTTTGAAGAAAAATCTTAAATTAAGGCATTTGGTGATTTTTATATAGACGAAAGGCAACAGAACCATTTGAAAGTCTTTCGATAATTGAGATTTTTATTTTCCATTCCATTTTGCAGACTATCTCCGTTTTCTCGATGAAAAATTTACGCTTCATAGATTCATAAGAATTGATTTTATTAATTGAAAATCTTCTAAGTAATTCAAAATGAATGGCTTGTTTCTTTGACTAAAATCAAGCAAATAAAGCACCATCGAATCATTTCCCCTCCCTTGAAGAAATGAAGGCATTGAATCCGAGTAATGCTTCTGGCCCAGTTGTACATCCAAAAGCTTACCAAAAACTTCATCCAAAAACTTCTATCCAAAAACTTCTTACAAGAAGGTGCCTAATACTCAACCAAGTCAGCCAAAATGTCAACAAGTTTCTATAGGCATTTTTATTTCTTGACAAGAATTTAGCATTGTCCTGAGCAAACTTTTTTTCAGCGCTAATAATGGTGAGTGCTTTATCGCTTATGCTGAATCCTAGATTTAAATCAAAAAATAATAGTCTGAGAAATTTGGCTGATTTTTATCCATTAGGCTACTTAAATAAATGAATTTTCACATATTCAACGTTTTTCAGAACTTCTCAGATCTTTCCTTTTCAATATTTTTGAATAGCATTTTTTAAATATATTTGCAATTTGCAATTAAATCATTTTTCGTTCATCGTTTTTTTGGATAGTTTATGGATTTTCAGTCGAATTTAGCAATTTAGCAAAAATTTTATTCGGCATTTTCGGTGCATTTCTCTTGTTGATTTGATTATAGATAGTATCAATTTTCAGATCAGTGGTAAGGAAAAAAATGGGTATGATGACCGGATTTGGACCACCTCCTCCTATTCGACGCCAGCAGCTCGAAAAGGTCAATAATTGTTGAAAAAATTGTTGAAAAAAAATTTATTTTTTAGAAAAATTGATAAACTGTGATATCCGATATAAAAAATAATAGAAAATGTCAACTAGTTTCTATAGGCATTTTTATTTCTTGACAAGAATTTAGCATTATCCTGAGCAAATTTTTTTTCAGCGCTAACGTAGAAAACTTAACCTTCTTATTTTTGAGACTTGTCAAGTTTTCTTATTTGAAGGTTCTGGCATGAGAATTTGAGTAAAAGATAATAATATTCTATAATTTATTCTGTTTTAGATTTTAAATTCAAGTTTAAGGTATCTGATGATTGGCGTCAAGCATTAGCCACTCTGTTATGCATCATTCTGTGTGCAACAGTTTTAATATCGGTTTGTACTCTTGGCTCATATCTGTTAAGAGATAAGCCAATCTATGAAGAAATTGTCGATTATCTTGATAAAACAATTGCAATTAGCAAGATTAATTATAATCATCAACTTGGTTTTTTCGAATTATCTGATAAAGAACTCGAAGCATTGAGTGCTCATAGAACGGTTGATTTCAATCAAAAAATTTTTTAAATTTTTAGATCTTTTCCTCCAATTCAAAGTTTAAAATTGCGCCTTTTTTTCTATTTATACTCATATTTATGTCTGGTCCAATGAGGCTAGAAAATCCCTTGGGGATAAAGACACAAGAGAATCCTCGCCGCTTTCTTACTCGATTTCTTTATGTTTATGATTAATGACGATAATAACTAATGATAGTATTGCTCTTCTTCTAACAACTCTCACCATTAGGTTAGGCTGGCTCCAATAGCTACAAGGGTAAGACGTTTCTAAGCGACGAGGTTCAACGCTTTCAACGCGGTCTGATATCGCCGACAGCAATAGAAGGCATTCCTTTTTCTATCGTCTAAGTCCATATATTGTCGGCCCACCCATATGTTCAAAACCTTTCCTGGTTGTATCAGTCCAGGTCTTGATTGGCGCATCATCCATCACAAGGTTTAGTAAATAGCGAAATATGTGTCAATTCTTGTGGTGGACGACGAAGAACATGCCTTAATCAGCGAAGGGACGCTCTGTGATAGATAGTATTGCTGATAAATTTTTCGATTTGCGAATAATGATTCATATATCATGTCAATTAAACTGGACTGGACTAGAATTACGAAAACTAAATACTTTAATGCCACTTGCTATCACTATGTTGAGAGGAAAGGTTTCAACTGCTGACGCAAGCAGGAATAAACTTGTCATTAAAAAATCCGAGCCAGCGATCCATCTTTACTTCTATAGCAAAGCTTGCCTAACCAGAAATGTGGACCTACCATTACTTGGATGGCAATTAATGAATTTCATACTTCTTATTATTTATCTTTATTTTTGTTATTTTAGTATAAAGCAATTCTTTGGGCATTCTTCTTCTCTGATTTAGCATGTTATATATTTTTAACGGTCGCCATTCTGCTCTATTTTACGACAGATGTTAGGAAAGGAAAACCATTCTTCATATTTTGGGTACGGTCTTTCTACATGATTCTTTTTAATTGTTAAAACGTTGCAATCCTGAATTAATCACAAAATCCTCAAAACAGCGTTATGAAATTTATTAAATCATAAATCATTTACGAATTGAAAAATGTATTTTTACAGATTGTATTCGGATTGGCATTTTTATATTGCACCGTCGAAATTCATATATTTTCTTTTATAATGTTTCCTTATTCATCAATTTTACCAAGCGTTACTGAAAAACAATTGAATCATGCGATTCCATACAATCCTGGAGGATTAACACAAATGGAACGTCGTTTAGGATGCAGTTTTGATCTTAATTTATATGCTGCGCATCGAAGAAAAGAAAATGAAAAGGTGAACAATTTTTCTTAAAAATATAATTTTCATGATTTAGTTTCACATTGAAATGTTGCAAAGAAGCAAGAAGAGGAAAATTTTAAAATATTTTTGTCAATACCAGGATTAGAGATGTGAAAAAAATACGTTTTCAGAATACATGCGATCCACAAATTGCGTCAAGTTTTCTCAGTAAAGGTGTGCTATGGTCTTTCATGGCCCTACAATTGATCCCAATCGTCATATTCGTTATTCTTATGGCTCATCGATTCCCAATTAGCTCATTATTTGCTTCACTGATGCAAAATTTAAAGAGTCGTCTCATGGAAAAGAATAATGGAAATAGGTGAGCGGCTAGATTCCATTATTCAAAAAGAATAGCACCAAAAATAGAAATAAATTAAAAAATAAGTGCGGTTGGCATTGTTCTGACCAATTCGTGGCGAAACTTTCTTCACTAGAAATTACGAGTTTGCCAGGGAACAACAGAAGAAAGGAACACTGGTGCATACCCAGCATTACCAAGAAAGATAAAATTCTATTAGTGAAATTTTTAATTTTATCAAATCTATAAAAAAAATTTTTGCCTAATTCAGAATTTTGGACAATTTCCTTTATAGGAGAAAAAAATTTCCAGCCAGTAATAACACAAATAATAAGACGACAGTAATCGGAGCTTCACCAACAGGTGTAATACAACGGTTTGTGACTGATTTTTTAATATAGCCAAACTACCGGTTTGCTGAAATTTTTGGACATAAAGATCATGGAAATATTTTCCATTGTACTTTGAGAACATCGAATACAATCGCTTCATTGATTCTTGAAATTGGCCAAAAAATTCCTGTCTCCCACATCGTATCTCTAATCTTTACTATGGCAATGAAGTGGATAACTATTATAGGTCAAACATTATTACACCGTTGCCTCCAGTACCACCATCTGATACTATCGATCATAGTATAAGGTATAACTTTATTCTTGAACTATATTATTACTTTATGTCGTTTTAACGCTTATTCTCGATTGAAATGGATAAAGATTGTCCACTAAAATTTATTGAATTCAGTTATAATAACGCAGCATACATCGCCACATCAGGTATCAATGGTATGAATAGTTCAAGAAGTAGCGAAATCTCGCGGGACGCTATTGATCTCTTTAAGTAAATTTTTTTGATTTTTAAAGATATTATAGACTTCCATATTTGTTGAGATTATTCAGTGGAATGCCTTTAAAAAGATTTTTTAAACATATATGCAATTTGTATAGTGAGATATTGCCGGGAAATCAGTTGGAGTTTGTATAGTGAGATATTGCCGGGAAATCAGTTGAAACAGAAGCGCAGAGCGCAGAAGAGTCGTCAGTACCACCGGGACCATCCGAATTTTTAATGGTAAGATATGAGGCAGGCCCTGAGCACCTTGAAGACGGTTATCTGAGCAATGACTGATTATCCCATCTCTTACTCAAACGATAATTAAATGGATTCAAATTTGACTTAAACTTTTAGTGTCTTTAGAGGTTTTCAAGCAAAACATTTGCTTTTTAGGCCTGTCATCCATACCGGCAGCAGTATAACATCGGAAGTTTGATGTTGGGGCAGAAACCAATATATTACGAAGTTGGTAATTCGTTCAGTGAATTGACCCTCGAATATACCTTCCTGCCGAAAAAAAAATTCATTTTGATTTGTAGCTCTGCCAGTTCGGCATCTACTATATATCTGTAAACATTGGATATATGTTATAAAATCGAAATTCGTTCGAAATTTGATAACCAATTTCCATGGAATCTGAGGAAATCTTTCTGAGATCTGTCAAAATTTATTCAGGTAAACTTCCCCTTAAAACAGTAATAATTGCGAAAAAATATACGAACTTCAAAACCAAAATGCAAGGATAAAAGGATAATCCATTCTGATTTTGTGAATAGAACAATAACCCCTCAATCGACCGTTTTTGGAAAAAAATAACTGCATCAAATTACACCAGATTTACTGTTCGGTGAAAAAAATTATTTTCTTTGTTTTCTTTCTTCACTGTTCACTGTTCAAAATAAATAAATTCATTATAAAAAATTATTCTGCGTTTTTACAATCTGTTGGCATGCACAGAAATTATATAACATCCAAACTTAAATAATTTATGGTATTTTAAGATTATTTTCAATTTATTCTACAGATGTTCCACAGTTCTACAGATATATATTCCATTAAGCCATATGATATAAATCTAGATCAATAAAAGTTTTTATCAATTTATGATTTGTTGCTTCAAAATATCATCTATATCATCACCCTTTACATTGGTGAATAGTTGGAATAAGAAAGGTCATGAAAACATGATGAGATTTTGAGCAATTTTAGCTGATCGAATCATATGAAATCGTTATGCCAGCTGAAAATCATCGCATAAAAAATAAAAAAAATAATGTATAAAAAATAGTTTGCGACTTCGAGATTTCAAAGCAGCAAAATCAGTCAAATTGACATTAACAGCAATTTTCCAAAAAAATTGATTAAAAATTGACTGATTAATTGATTAAAAATAAGTGCAAAAGACAAATCCGAAAAAATTCAGAAATTATAAATTATCAAGACTTAAGATTTGATATATAGTTTTTACAAGAATAAAATTTACAAAAAAAAACGAAAAAAACATATAAATTATAATATATAAATTATAATACAAAAATATACAAATCATAAGTTTTCAGTACCTACTGAAATGAACTTCCATTCTTTACCTATCGCTATTCTCGTATGAAAGAATTTAATGAATAATGTCCTCAAAATTCAAAATTCCATTTTACAGGATAAAACCCGAATAGAAAAACAATTTTAAAAACATTAAAAAGATTAAGTGGAAGGAAAAACAATTTTAACAAAAATTTACAATGAAAAAATGATTATTTAGATTGAACCAAAATCGGATGCAACAAATGAATCACGAGTTCGTAGGTTCCCATCGTTATCGCAGTATTTGGTACCGTTCGCAATAGCTTAAAAAAAACAAGAACAAATATTGAATCGCTATTCATAAAGTCTGACATCTCCAGTCAAATCCAGAATATAAGTAGAGATGAAAAATTTTAAAGAAGCTACTGAAGATACTGAAGATAATGTGAATATGTAATGAAATAAATGAACCTGGACGGCCAATCCACGATATAATGCTCGAATACCTTCTGTACGATAAATATGACCGAAAGTTTTGAAGAATCCCCTTCTTGCACTATTTTCTTCCCGAAGACGAGTCCGAACAACTTCTAAAAGTTATGCGTGTATTGATTGATAAACTCATTTTATCCTTATTCATTGTTTAATGATTTGTTTTTAGCCATATTCACTCTAAAAAATTTTACCATGTGGATATGCTGCGACACAGGCGAAAAATTTTGCACTTCCACCCGCAAGCATAAAATTGATAAAATCAACTTTATTCCGTTTCTCTTCATCCTCTACAAGCGAACCAACTTCAAGGAGTGAACTTCGCAATTCTTCATAGAGTACAAATTGAATGACAGTTTCTGATATGCCAACATATGATGCAGTAACACCCTAGAAAAACGCTCTAGAAAATTCGTGATGAGCATAAAAAAGGAAAAAACGATCAAACTTGAGCATTTCAATTCAAATTTATTTCTGAGAAAAAAAAGCTATCTTTGACTTCTAATTTATTTAAAGATTCTTCTATAAATTGAAAAGAGAAGAAATAAAAAGAGAAGAAAAAAAAAAAAATAAAAAGAGAAGAGAAAAGAGAAGAGAAGAGAAGAGAGGATCTCTAACTTACTTTATAGAATCCTCTGATGCCTTCATTTTTGAAAACTCGCTTTATACAATCGACCACACTCATGGAACCTTTATATAATTGCAACCGTGTCTTTACCAACCAAACAGGATTTATGACACTCGCTGCCACAAAACCTGTAAGAATTATTTCAAAAATGCAGTCAACAAGCAGTATTCATTTTCTGATTCACATGCACTAATGAAAAAAATGTTCGAAGAATTTCCCTTTAAATATCTATATGTACTAATAAATTCATCCTATGAATGGACAGAATTGTCTTCAGTTCTATAAAATTTATTTGTAATTATTACCATTATTACTGCATATTGTATTATTTATATTTTAAGAAGATATTCCAATTGAATATGTTCATAAAAACAGCGAATTTTTGGAGCGAGAATTTGGCATGGCACACGCAATAGTTTTTTAAAACTTTATACCAACAAATTATATTTTGGAAAATAAAGTAACATAAGCGATTTTGCTCTTAGAACAGATATAAAATTCTAATGGCAAAATCAATTCAACTCAGATGTTCTATTCAGCAAAAACTAAATCATTTAATCGAATTTAGATTCGGCTCTAAGGCTCCCATGGCAAAACTTTTTCCTATAAAAAAAAACTTTCGTACAGTAAAACGATGCATAAAACAAAACAAACCGCCTGATGCAGCAGAAACCATATGAATAAAAGCACTGTTACGTACAAACAAATCTGTGTCGTTCAAAAAGCGCTTGCACGATGAATACGTATAAAAATATACAGCTCTGAAATGATGAGGTTATTTTACACTTTTTTTTTCATTAAACAAACTATGTCAACAAGAAAAAACATAAAATACAAAATTATTAAGGAAACAATAAATTTTTTCAGTCAAAAATGGCTATTCCGATTGAAGAAAGTGAAAAAAAAATTATATGAAACCTAATAAATTTTAATAAGATTGATAATTCTGATAAATTTTGATAGATTAACTGGTAAGTTACAATCAGTTTCATTTTGAAAAATTTAAATTGAAGGAAAAAATCTGACTTCGTGGGTGCGACACCAAACAGATTGGGAATAAGACCTTTATAAAAAGCTCCAAAGCCTTCATTAGTTATAATCCGACTGAAAAAAAGGATAAAAAATAATTATAAGAATTTTATACAAATTAAAAAATTAACTAAATGAAAGATTTAGAAGAATATACAACAAAAAACCAGTTTTTTCTTAAAAATAATGTTAAAACCTATCGAAATAAGATTAGCAAATAAATTTTTCTTAAAGTTACCTACTGAAGCAAATTGAATATTTTATTTCTCCTCACAAATGAAGTTTCATATGCTGATGACCAGTAAACTCCTAATCCTTGAAGAGAGGCAGAAATATACTTAGATCCACTACTGGGAATCTTCGAAAATCGAAAAACTGAAAAGAAAAATAAACCAGGATAAAAAATTAAGTTTGCTTATATTGAAATAAATCATTTTTCATAAATCTGCAATTTACCTGCATTATTTATACGGTCAAAATTATGGCGATTTTGGTGAGTATTAGCATGAGAAGGAAGCGCAACCTTTCTCGGCACTTCATCTGAAGTAGAAGGGCCTTTTGTAAAATCTGAATATTCCGAGCTTTGCAAGCGAATTTTGACTACCTTAACAATTATAATATGGTAGAATACAATAAATTCAATCAATAGAGACAATGCAAAATTAAACATTAGTTAGTTCATTATTTATTCAAAAGTAACTTCTAGTGGACAAGTAATCGCTGTTCCAGCAGTACCACCAACAGCACCACCAACAAAATGAATAAATGCTTCCCTGTCCATTCTGAAAAAATTTCATTTTAATTTCAAAATTCAAATCCACCAAGTTCAGAATCCAAAAGAAGAGAATAAATGTAATGTAAACCCAACTGTTAACTCAAGATAAGCGATAAATATTTCCGAAACATTTTTTTCTAATTCCTCTTACTTGTTTTTTTCAACATTTCATTCAAGAAGGAGGACAAAAATGGCATGAAAATAAATAAATAAATGAAAATAAATAACTCATTTAAAACAGAAATAATTCCATAATAACGAAACGATTCTAAAATTAAAACTCAATTAGTAAAAATAATTTTACATAAACTCAAAAAAGTGTGGATATTTTTGAATTTTGAACGACTAAAAAATTTAATTAAAAGATATAAACTTGCAATCTAAACGGAGAATTCAAATCAAATCAAATTCAAATCAAATCCAGTCGATGCACCACATTTCATCAAATGGTAATGTCGCCGAATGCAAAATAAAAGGAGGATAAGTTGTTTTCATTTCAAAGCGATGGGTTCTACAACTAGAAAAAGTAAATCTATTTTTCAAAAATTCGGATGATGCTGACGATTTACTTGTAATTTACCCAAGCAGCTGAAACCAAAGCCGTCAGAAAGAGCCTAACAAGCAGATAGGAGATCTTACAAGAAAAATTTCATAAGTTAAAAAAGTTTAAAAAAAAAATATGAAGTAAATAATATGTATGCTCTCTTAGTGACTTCCTGAGAGTTAAGACTGAAATACACTTAAGCCACAGAAGTGAACGTCGCAAAAAGAAAAAAATGTGGAAAAAAAACTGTCTCCTTTTTGATCACTCATATGAAAGATAAATGTTTTAGAAAGTCTGAAGAAAAATATTATAAAACTGGAAAAAAAATGAAGTCAAATGAGCTCAGGTACCACAAATGTAATGGTCTAAATTCTAAACCTGTTATATGCCGAGGGCAAATAGCTAATAATAAAAAAACTATAAAACTACTTCATAAATCCATGACAATGATTTTTTTTATTGCTAAATTATCGTCCAAAATTATCTTCCAATTCAATTATCTTCTTGCAAAAATCTTCCAATCTTGAGGCCTTCTTCTTTTTCTAACAGTTTTCACCATTACTGGTTAGGGTGATTCCACTGGCTACAAGGGTAAGCGTTTCCAAGCTGCGATCGTCGACAGTAGTAGAAGCCATTTCTTTTTCCATTGTCCATATATCGCTAGTCCTCCTATATGTTAAAAATTTTTCCTGATTGTATCAGCTGGCGTGCTCGTAAAATGTACCTTAGATATAAGTGGTCAAAGGCACATAACCTCTTAATATCCTCCGCTCTCGTTAGCCATGCCTCGCAGCCATGTAGCAAAATCGAAAGAATCGTGGAGCTATATGGATGCAGATTTTCGTTTTTATGATGATTTCTCGATGGCTCCATAAATTTTACAGAGACTCTATATAGACGCAGATTTTCTGAAGAAAGCATTTCTAGTTGCCATTATCCCAGTTGTAGTATCTTTTTTCATCTTTCTCCATTTGTGCTTGGATTGCATCCGAGATATTTAAAGTTTGATATTTCCTCAATCAGCAATGAATTGATAAAGACAGGTATTTTATAAGATGACAAAACTTTAGTTTTATTTATATTGATGTTGAGTCCAATTCTCGCTTCAATTGTCGACACATTATTTTGCAATATTTGTATTTCATCATAACCAAAAGACCACGTTATCAGCGCATTCAAGATCTATGATACTGTGCTCTGGACTGATTTGTAAACCTCTTGAATGCCTACAAGCGATGTCCATTATCCAGTCTATTGCATAGTCGAATATTGCAGGTGTATGTATTCAAAAATGGGAAAAACATGATTCAGTGAATTAGAAATGAAAGGTCAGCAATCAGACGAAACAAAGGTCACAGAGGTGATCTGAGATGGTTACATAAGAGCAACAACTTCAATCGTAGAGGTTAACGACAAATATCGTCGAAGAATGGCCATAACGCTTCGATGTCAGTTTTCGTTTATTTTGTAGAATTTTTCGTGCAATTAATGGTGTTATCGCATTTTACAAGGTTCAATTACCAACTCTGAGGAATTGAACGGTAAAATAGTAAAAAATTGTTAAAGGACATTAGTTTATATTAGAGCGAGCTACTGTTCGCTTTTCGTAATATAAGTATTACTATATAAGTAAGCACTAGTTTTAAGGTTCTGCTCCTGGCAGAACTTTTGCATGCGCAGATGGTGCATGAAAATACATCTATCGCCAAATCACTTCCTGGCAAAATTTCTGTGGTCAGACGAGCCAGTGGAAAGAGTCTAACCAAAAATAACGAATGTTCTTTTAAAAAAAATGTATTGCACTTTTAATAAAAAATCGCTAAGCAAGAGATTCGAAATGAATAGGTTCATATGCTATTTAAATTTAATGGGTGTCCTTTGAAAATGAAATTCTAAGATCAAAACAAATGAAAAAAGCTTTGCTAAAAAAAAAGTTAAAAAAGTCCCAAATCCAAATTTAGTATTAATTATCGCTTGGTAAAGCAGTTATTTGTCTGCCGTTCAAACAGAGCTTACGAGCATCGATTAGCGAGAATTTACGATAATCGATTCGTTCAACAGCATCCGCGGAATTACCTTCCGGAAAAAACTTTCACGAGTAAAAATTTCCTAATAGAAAATAAAATGAAAAGCAAGTTGAAAATGATTGGAAAGAAATCGAGGAAATTTCAATAATTCAATTAATAAATATGGAAATTCGGAAAGAAAACAAAAATTTATTTTTTTATTAAAATTCAATGAAAATTACTTATATTACAAAAAAAAATTTGAAGAAAATAGGTGAAAAATTAGGAATTCTTTTAAAATTCTTTGAGGAATTTTTTTGGGAAAACCAAAAGTACTCATTTTAAAAAGCTTATCGAAGAGAAAAAAAGCAAATAAACCGAAAGCAAATTACCAAGAGAAAGAAAATAAAACACAACAATCCTCCTCCATTAACACCAAAAAAGTTATAAATTTTCTACTGTGTCCATGTTTTCGTTGTGGGGCTCCGTAATTTAATTTTGCAGCAGATAATGAAATGTCTCGGATTGGAAATTCGATATAGTGCAGTGAGTAGTTTTTGAAATTCTTGTAAAAAGCATTAAAAGAATTGGTTTTTTGAGGTTTTTCCTTTGCAATTCCAATGCAGATGTATCGGAAAGAAATTCTTTTCTTTTCGAAATTAAATTCTTCTAATAGTTCACACCACTGCTAGTTTGGTTTGACTAACTTAGTTGGCGACAAGTCCTGTTCAAGCATCCCAGTGCCAATCCTGAAAATAACTGAGTCCTCTTCCGCTCTAATTCCAAATGGCCAAGTAAAGGACAACCCGGATAACGGTGATTAGAAATACTTTCCTCCTGTTGACGAAATCTTTATGGACTGTCGCGAAATCACCACAGAAACGAAAGTCCAAATCTATATGACTCCATTTTGCTCGATCTTATAATGTGGCTGCAAGGCATGGCTGACGAGAGTACAGGATGTTAAGAAATTATTTGCCTTCGACCACTCACTTTAACGTGCATTTTCACTGCTCGTCAAGTGGATAAATCTCACACGATCACATCCACCCTCGTTCAAATGCCACTTGCATTAACAGTACCATCACGTCGTCTTCGTTCGTTAGGGCAAGGGCATATTTTTTATCGTCTATCACAAGAGTTGTCAAATATTTCTATTTGCTAAATCCTATGATGGATGGTGAGTTGGACCAATTAAAACTTGGATTGACAGTCAGGAAAGATATTTAACGTATAAGAAGACTTAGACAATGGAGAAAGGAATGGTTTTTACTACTGTCGAAGCACCTACTGCTTCTATTACAGTGGCGCAGTTTGGAAACGCCTTACTTTATGGTCAGAGAAGACAGCTTAATCAATAATAGAGGAAAAAGGCCGTATCGTAGTGCCAGGTTTCCATTGGTCTTTCACTCTTTTGATACTATCTATCGCAGAAGTAGCGAGATATGCATAAATTCCCATATTGAGTGATAAAGAACATGAAATAAATCTGCAAATGCTTGATGATAATCTTGATAATTGCAAGTAACGTGCATTTTCCTGGCTCACCGAGGATATTAAGAAATTATTTAATCAATATTTTTCCAGTGTATTTGTCAATGAGGATAATACTCATACTTAATACTCGTTTACTCGATAATACTCGTTTTAACGTAAATCGAATTTGTTGCACTTCTCTTGGTGAAGTTGAAATAACGTTACTGGATGTTTATGATGCCTTAAACGCCGTCCATTTCAGCTGGTCCCGATAATATTCCACAAAAAATCTATCAAAAATGTGCAGTTTCACTGAGTCTTCCACTATTTTTAATTTATAAAGATATGAAATCTGGCCTTAATCCCAAAATTTGGAAGTTGTCTCATAATTCCCATTCATATTATAGACCTATTAGCCTAACATGCGTTAGTAGCAAGGTACTCGAAAACTTGATTTGCTTACTTATCTTAATGCCAATAATTTTATATCCCCTTATCAGGAGGGCTTTTGTACAAAAAAATCTACTTCTTCACAGATATTGGCAAATCGATTGGTCAGCATCAATCGTCAGCAACAATGGAAAAACAGTGTACCTAGATTTGGCTAAAGTTTTTGATACTGTTTCCCATAGCAAATTACTGATCATTCTTAATAGTTATGGCATTACAGGGGTCCTTTATAACTGGGTGTTAGATTATATAAAAAATCGTCACCAAGCCGTACACGTCAATAACACAACGCGTCTTTCTGACACAACACCTGTTAAATCTGATATTCCCCAAGGTAGTTATATTGCCATCCTCAAGGCTACTAAATTTTATTTTTCGTTCGTTCAAGAATAAAACTGAAGATTTTCTTATCAAAATGTACAAAACATTCGTTCGGCCACTTGTTGACTACAATGACATGTTACTCGAGGTATCGTAAATAAAGTAAAATAATATATCGTAAATAAAGTAAAATAATTGAAAAATATATCCAAAAA